CGAGCAGCGGCTGAATCAGGGATGCCTCGGGCAGAGCCAGACTATCAGAAGGGGGGGCTATGAGGGGTCTGGGGTCAGACCCCTCATAGCCCCCCCTTCTGATAGTCCGGCATATCTGATAATTTGGCAACCCTGGGTCCTAAAGGTGCCGGATTATCGGAACTTTACTGTACTTATTTTGTTTTTCTTGTACATGTATCAAATTCTAGGTGTATTAACTACAGGAAATGCACAGACCTTGAAAAATTATTAGTATTAATCATAATCCTTTAAAAGCAGATCTTTTCTCTACTTCCTGAAATCTCCAAGAAATAATTGGAAAAACAGATCAGTTTTGCAACATGTTCTGAAAGTAGTTTGTTGCTGAGAAGCAGTACAGCACATCTGGCTGTACTTCTCATCAGTGTATTTTCTTTAGATCACTACTCTACTTCTGCAGATGTTCACCACTATTCAGAATAGTGAGAGAGTAATATTCTTTACTAAATATAAATTAAAGGACTACTCATCTTACCTGTTCTTTGATAGCTTTTTCAACTAAAGATTTTCCTCTACTCATACGTACCTAAATTAAGAGAAACATTGTGTAGTGTGTATGTAGCACATTCATACTCATTTCAAATACTGAAATATAGGGTGCATTATGTTAAAAAGTTGCTGTGTGTACAAACTGAAGTTAAATTTTGTGTCAACTACCTCTATTAAACGAACAAAATACTGTATAACCACCACATGTTAATCTGCATTATTTAACCATTTTTCATCAAATTTCATACATCAAATGCCTAAAATCAGCATCATGTTTTGCAGAGTGCTGTTGGGATCTATACAGCTGAAAGCTCAGTATTCTCACTGTTAATAGTTTACAATAATGTAAGACAACCCCCATGAGTGTAACTAGCTATCGTATTTAAGCGAATATACCCCGTGGTTTTTGCTATTTGAGTAAAAAAAAAACCCGTATACCCAGCAGGAGAGACTCCGTGGATAACGGTAGTACAAAGCACCTGAAATAACCTGTTAATGAGCTGCAGCTGATGATGGTAATGCAGAGCACCTGTAATCAACTGTTTATGAGCCGCAGCTGATAATGCCGAGCAGTAACGGGTATATAACCCCTTTGAACAACACCGCTTTTCCATTCATTTGTTCCTTCATTGGTTTTAACTTGTATTTTAGACTTTTAAACTTTAAACCTTTACACTTTTTAAATTTTTTAAAGCTTTTAGAAATGCCTAAGCGCAAATCATACACTCAAATGTCACTGAAGCCGATCTCACCTTGGCTATGGATTTTATGAATGTTTTTAAAGACAGTGACTATGACAAGAGTTTTGATGGTTTTGAGAACTCAGATGCTGAGGAGGAGGATGCTGGCACTGACTGTAGAGATCAGAGTGAATGAGAATACGAAGACTTTTTTTAAAATTGTTTTTCTTCTTTTACTAGTTACACAGTAAAGTAATGAATTTTAACATAACTGTCTCTATTATTAAATTAAAATATGCTGCTTTCCTCAAGGAAGAGTCAGTATTATCTTCCTTTCAGTAAAAAAAAACCCTGTATACCCTACACACGAGTATAGCCCGCGGGAGCGAGGGGTGGTGGTGGTATTGTGGGGTTTGTAAAAACGAATATTCGCTAAACTACGGAATATGTTACTAAAGAACAAAATTGTGGTATAGCACCACTTCAACTACCTGGGTGAAATTCTAGAGAAGGTAGTGCCATATCAGACCTGTAATGGCAAGGTTTGAAATCACTTTATGGACACCTGTATATTTTAATTTCCAAACATTTTAAGTCACCCCTAGGTAGCGGGAAGGGGACACATAAAGAATGAACTGCATCTTAGAGATCTAAGCATGTTAAATATCAGTTAATTGAATAGTCAAGTAACCTCATGAATTCTTATCAGTTAGTGGATTATTCTATAGACCCTGAGGTGGGGGCGGCAGCCAGTGCGCTCAGGTCTCACTCCCAAGAAGACCCCTGCCAAGTAGGAGCTAATCCGCAAGGGGAGCCAATTTAAAAATCAATCCCCTATGTGGACTGGCTGCCTGTTGCCCTGCATTGCTGCCTCTGATAAAGAGGCAGCAGTGCGGGATGGCAGCAGCCGCCATCTAGGGAGTGGGCTGTGCTCCCAGACCCGGCATGAGCCAGAACTGAGCTGGGCTGCCTGCCCCCAATATGCTTTAGATGCAGAGCTGCAACGAGGATAGGTCCCGGACCCATCGCACATCAGGTCTGAGCCAGGCTGCTAGTCAGCCTGCTAAAAGATTTACTGGCAAGTGTGTGTGTGTGTGGGGTAGGGGGGAGAATACGTGTATTTTATAGCATTAACCCATAAGCTTTTGCTTATAGGTGTTAATCAACTACACTTTTACATTCCTATAGAGATCAAAGATAATTTAGAAAATCCTGAGTTTATGGAGCCAGTAAAGTTTAATACCTGCTCAACCTAGAAAGAGTTTAAAAAAAAAAAAAAACCATCATGATTATCAATATGCAATTGCCTGATAAGGGATGTGTTTCTATAAATATTCAATTAATTATGATATTCAGCCATGGGCATAAGAAATTTCAAATACTTATTAGAAACTAAACACCAGAGAAAGTGATCTCTCTGGCACTTGTAGGATCACCTGTTGTGCAGCCACCCTTTTTTCCTGAGCTTTTCATGTCAGAATCTTCCTTAGCTGTCAAGTCCCACTCCTACACTGTCCTCTCCCACTGCAACTCTAGCTCCTACTCTCCTATTGCATGACATTTTTAGTAATGAACAGAGACTTAGGAAGATAGGGATGCCGGATAATATGTTACACATACAAGATTAAGTGGTACCATCTACAGAAAATAGCTGTATTAGAAAGTACTGCCAACTGGCCTATGCATCTTAACTACAGTAGACTTTTCTGGACTGAATTTGTTGAAAAATTCAGTCTCATTTGATACAAACTATCTTTGAATTTGATAGGAATTTCCCAAACAGCTTCAGACAAAAACAGAGCAAGGCTTTGGAGCAGGGATTTAAACTTGGATCTCCTACCACACAGGAGAAGTGCTTATACCACGATGATAGAGTCCTTCTCTCTGGCCTACTGACTATACAAGTATTTTATAAAAATGGAGCAATTCCAACAGCAGACAGCGAGAAAGAACCCCAGCAATCTACCTAATAGCCTAGAATTTAGAGTACTGTTCCAAAACATGAAAGACCCACGTACAAATTCCTTCTCCACTTCATATGAGGGGAACTGAACCCAGGTCTCCCCCATTCAAGAAAAGTTCAGGTAACTACTGGTTTAAACATTTTGAGTTAGAAGTAAATGAACTGTAAGGAGGGACCTATGTGAAAATGGGACCAGAAACAAAATTATTAGTTTTGGGTCAAATAAAATTTTTTATTCAATATGAAATAGAAATGTTGTCAACTTTTTTAATTCAGTGATATTTTCTGAAATTTTAGGATTTGGTTCAAGCTAATTTCTTTTTCTGATTTTTCACAGCTGGAAGCAGCCAGAAAACAGTTTTTTACTCACCCAAGTCATAATCCCACTAAACAAGCAAAAAACATCTGACCATTGAAAACAGAGAGGTTTACAATAGTTGACTTGTGCATTTATTTCCTAGATGCCAATATTGCTACAAAAATATTCTACTAGTGATAAGATAGTGAAAGTGAGTTGACTATTTCACACAAAATCTTTCTTCGAGCAAAAGGATGTAAAAAGAAAAGGCTCTACATATGTAGCTGTAATTTGTGGGTTTCTAAAGAATGTTGGCAATGAGAGTTTCTCTTCCTATTAAAAAAAAACAAAAACAAAAAACAAAAGCTTTTCCTGAGCGACAACAGTTACGGCAGCATGTCACTCTGCATCTCACATAAAAGTTTTCATTCTGCTGCCCCTCAGCCATGCGGCTTCCGAGACCAAAGACACCCAGGGATCCCTTCCCCCCTGTCCAGGGTGAGCGGCCCTAGGCTGGTGGGCCTCAGCAATGCCAAGGAGAAGTGCTCCTTCAGCAAGCAGCTTTTCCGGGGGGATCAGTATCAGCCCACTTGTTCAGTGGCTTCATGATCCAGGTGCTCAAGACCCTCTCCCACGCTGTCACACTACATTACTGAGCCCGAGGCAGTACAGAATCTGTTGCCCCCCTGTACCTGCTCCCACCAGAGGTGGCCCACGGCCTGTTAGCTGCTTCCAGGTGCAGCCGCCACAGAGCCCCAAGCCAGAGCCACCGCCCAAGGCAGTAGAGTTGGGGCAGGAGCTGGTGTCTGGGCTCATCCTGCTGTGGAGAGTGCAAGGGGGGGAGAGGGAGAGGAAGGAGGGAAAAATAGGGTTACCAGATGGTTTTAAAAAAAATACCGGACATCCTTGATCTCAGATCGGGGAGGGGCGGGTGCAAGGGACGACCGACAGGGAGGGGAGTGGAGCTGGCCGGGAGGGACTTGGGGGGAGCATGGCTGGCCGGGGGGGGACCAGCCAGTGAGGAGGGGTGGTGGCC